AAAAAAAAAAGAATGCTCAGTGACTGCGCTGATGGCATGGGTGCTAAGGCTCCAGCCCATATGTTGTCAGCAGAGCCAAGACAGAGTCAAGTACAAGGGGTAACTTAAGGCACCCTAAGGGAATCATGCAGTCGGTGGCTGGAGAGCGCATGTGGAGTGTAAGTATGGAAGCAGGACACCCCTCACCCAGGGGTGATAGGGCAAGCAGGCACCCGTATACTTCATAGAGAGACCCCAGTTAGAAGAGGTCAGATGCTGGACCTTCCAACACCAGCTCTGGAAAAATCAGCAATGACAATAAAGATGACAAGGAAGATCATCACCATTTGTAAGTGTTCGCAAGGTAACAAACTCCGGCAGGCACTTTAGATGCTAGCAAAGGTGTTAAGAATTGGGGTCCTATCTGGGCATGATGGCTTACGCCTGTGACCCCAGCACTTTGGGAGGCACAGGTGAGAGGACTGCCTGAGTCCAGGGGTTCGAGACCAGTCTGGGTAATTTGGCAAGACCTCATCTCTACAAAAAAAAAAAAAAATCAAAAAATTAGCAGGGCTGGTGGTGTGTGCCTGTAGTTCCAGCTACTCATGAGGCTCAGGTAGAAAGATCGCCTGAGCCCAGGAGGTCAAGGCTGCGGTAGCAGTGTTCACACCACTGTACTCCAGCCTGGATGACAGAGTAAGACCTCGACAAAAAAAGGTGGGGGATTCTGCAGATTAGCTACCTGAAAGGAAAAACCAGATTTCATTATTCACTGGCTGTGAGATCCTGGGCAAGCTGCTAACCCCCACTATGCCTCCACTTTCTCATCTGCAGAATGGCACCAGAATGTAAGCCCAGAAGAGCAGGAGCTTTGTTTGTCTTTTCACCACTGGATCCCCAGGATAGAACTCATAGTTGGTACTCAATAAATGTCTACCAAGGGAATAAACAGGTTTATTTAATCCTTACAACTACGCTGTGAGGTTATTGTATTGATTTCATTTTAAAGATGAGGAGGCTGGGTGTGGTGGCTCACACCTATAATCCCAGCACCCAGGAATTCAAGACCAGACTGGGCAACATAGTGAGACTCCATCTCTACAAAAAAAATTTTAAAATAGCTGGGCTCAGTGGCACAAGCCTGTAAGCCCAGCTACTTGGGAGGCTGAGTCAGGAGGACCACTTTAACCCAGAAGTTGGAGGCTGCAGCGAGCTATGATGGTGCCACTAAATCTGCCCTGTCTCTAAAATAAAATACAATAAAATAAAGATGAGGAAACTGAGTCTCAGAAAGGTTATATAACTTAATGAAGGTCATACACTTGGTGAGGGTGGTTCTGGGAGTCTGGCTCTCAAAGTCAGCCTTTCTGACTCTAAGGAGTGTGGCCAAGCATTGTGGTGCCCTTCCTCTCAATTAATAGAACATGGGGCCAGGAGCAGTGGCTCAGGCCTACAACCCTGGCACTTTGGGAGGCTGAGGTAAAAGAATCCCTTGAGCCTAGGAGTTCAAGACCAGCCTGGGCAACATAGCAAGACCTCATCTCTACAAAAAAATCAAAAATGTAGCTGGGCATGGTGTCACCTGCCTCTAGTCCCTGCTACTCTGAAGGGTAAGGCAGGAGGATCACCTGAGCCCAGGAGGTTGAGGCTGCGTGAGCCATGACCATGCCACTGCACTCCAGCCTGGGCAAAAGAGTGAGATCCCAGCTCAAATAAATAAATAAATAAATAAATAAATAAATACAATGTGGTAGGCAGGATGACCTCTCCCAAAGATTTAAGAGGCACCATTGCCTCCTTGAATAGGCTGCTGAGAAGTCTCCATCACCAACTCAGCGACACCTTCCCTGAACCCAGTCGCAGGTCACAGAGTCTCCACATTGGGGCTTTGCCGCCAAGTCTAGATAACGAGGAACCTGCTGTTGTTTTATCACTTTGCTTACGGAGAAGGGAGACCAAGTGGAATTTCTCGGGTCTTTCCGGCCCATCGAGACTTATACTTGAAATCCCTGGCAGCCAAGGTTGCAGGGCAGGACCGAACACACAGATACCGGCTTTGGGAGTGCAGAGTCAGGAGGTTAGGACAGATGGCTGCAGGATAGATGGCTCTGGGGCCAGGTGGGAGCACCCTGTGGCTCGAGCAGCGCCCTGCAGACCAGGAAGAAGCTGCGCTCATGGGGCCTGGCAGCGCTCACCTGTGATGATGACTTCATCTCCGTCCAGCAGAAACGTCCTGGTCTGCCCGTTGCCCAGCTCGATGGGCTTCGTGCCCCTCCACGACAGCTCCAGCATGGAGCCGAAGCTTTCTGGGTTCTGCATCACAGGAGAGGGGAAGACTGTCACGGGGATGTGTCAGCCCCAATGTAGACAGTGCTTAGCAAGACCTGGGGGCCCCGAGTGGGAGCAAGGGACCTTGTGTTCTCCCACCTTGGTAGGGCCCCCACAGGGATGCCCTGGAGATGGTGCTCTGCCCCTTCCTCCAATGGACACAGCAGACTTTCCACTGAGGACTACACTTCTTCAGGACTCAATGACTCCCTTCCCCTCCCGCAATGCTCCCTCTCCACCCTGGAGGCCAAGCCTGCCCAGACTTGTTATGCTTAACGCCCTCCCCTTGGGAAGAAGTGGATCCTTGAAGGAAAGAGTGTGGTCAGAACCTTTCAGGGAGTGACTAACACATGCACCAGCCCAAGGACATCTCTGAAGGTTATGCAACTCTGCCCTGGGTTTACAGGGGCACAGGGGAGGGTGGGAAGGGGCACAGCAACGTGGCCACCTCACTCTAGGAGGCTGCCATGTGAGACAGGAACAACCAAGACACTATCACTGTTTCCTGACTCTTCCCTGCCTGTCATCTCCCCTATGGAGGTCAGAACCCAGGCTCTTACCCCCTCTCCCCCCCCCAGTCTCTTTAGGTTTGAAGTCACAAGAGAGGCCCTTCCTGCAGCTAAAGATGGATGCGGCTGGGAGGGAGACAGAGTTATAAGATATAATCACTCGGGCTTCAAATCCCTCCTCAAGGGTCAGCCAAGGGCCCTAAGGGGTGGGTGGAGAGAAGAGATGCTCTCGATGGGAGTCTTCCATGCAGTCTGATACTCACTGGCCCACTGATGGTTCCAGAAGCCAAGAGGTCCCCCGGGCGCAGGTTACAGCCATTGACAGAGTGGTGAGTGAGCTGCTGCAGCATCGTCCAGTACATGTACTGTGAGGGACACATAGGCGGACAGCGGGTGGTGTGGGCTTCTCCCAGCCTCCCTGAGGCAGCTGGGCACAGCTGCCCTGCTCACAACAGCCTCCCTTGACCTCCTTGCCCCCAGCCTCCCCTGGACAGCTCTCACTGGTCCCTTTAGCAAAGACACGCCATCCTCCTGGAAAGCTGCCTCCCCCAGCTCTCTCATCTCCTCCATGAACTACCCCCCACCCCGGCTTCCCCTTCTTCACAAACTCCCCCTCTCTGCTCCTCCATGACCCACGCCCTCCCCGGCCACACGCCATCCTTCTGGAGAGCTCTCCCATCTCCTCTATAAGCTTCCCCCAAACTCTTCCATCTCCTTTGCAAGTTCCCCCCCAGCTCCTTCACAACCCCAGTTACTCCACGACCACATGCCATCCTCCTGAAGAGCTGCCTCCCCAGCTCTCCCATCACCTTGGTGAGCTCCCCCCTCAGCTCCTCCACGACCCAGGCCCTCCCTGATTCCTTCTCCCAGAAGCCCTTCTCCTGAGAGGCAGCCACGCTGCTCAGTCCCTCAGCTACAGCATACCCATCTGCATGTGATTCCATGCTGCCCTGTGTCCTGCACCATCCGCAATGGGGTCCTTGCCACCGCAGAGGCTTCTCATGCACAAAGACCTCGCTCCCATTCTCCCACCCAGGCCTTGGAATGGACTTTGGGCATAGAACCGAATAATTCAAATGTGGCATCAGAGCAGGCTGAGGAACGAGGGAGTGCCATGGGAGGTCACGCTGTGGGCAGAAGGAGCCAGGGCACCAGATGCCTACTGAGATGCTCAGAGGCAACGCTGGCCAGCACCCATCCAGGGCCACAGCTTCTTAGATCTGCCACTCCTACAGCTACATGTCTAGGCCCAGGGGACCTGAAAGAGGGATTCTCACCACAAACCCCACCAGGGGACTCCCTTCTTTCTTCTTCCTAACCTAAGGAGCTCCGAGGAATGTTAAATTAGAAGGGAGACGAGAGGACGTTGGAATCCAAGGCCCAAAGTACATTCAAATGACCAATAAACACATGAATAATAACATACAACTGACGTGCCTCACTCTGTCCATCATGAGGGAGATATAAATGAAAATCACTCTCCAGAATGGCTGAGAAGAAAAGGCAAATACCACCGTGGCTGACAAGGACACAAAGCCTGAAAGATGCTCACATGCAGCTGGCGGGAGTATCAATTGGTACAACCACTTTGGAAAACTGTTGGCTGAGTCTAGATATACTCTATGACCCAGCAATGCTATTCCTGGATATACACATATGTTGACAAAAAGATGTGTACTGGGTTGGGCATGGTGGCTCACACCTGTAATCCCAGCACTTTGAGAGGTCAAGGCAAGAGGATTGCTTGAGCCCAGGAGTTTGAGACCAGCCTAAGCAACATAGTAAGACCTCTTCTCTACAAAAATATCAAAAAAAATTAGCCAGGCACAGTGGAGTGCTTCTGGAGACCCAGCTACTAGGGAGGCTGACGCAGAAGGATCACCTGAGCCCAGGAGATAAAGGTTGTAGTGAGCTGTGACAGTGCCACTGCACTCCAACCTGGGCAACAGAGTGAGACCCCAACTCAAAAAAATATTTAACAAAGATGTATACTGAAATGTTCACAGTAACTCTATGATAGCCAAAAAGTGGAAATGACCAAACATTTGTCAATAGTAGAATGGATTATTCAATTGTGGATTTTTGTACAGTGGACCACTTCAGCCGTGAGAAAAATGGGTTATCACTACAAATGGCAATAGGGTCAAATCTCACAAATAGAATGCAAAAACAAAGAAGCCAGGTAGAGAAGAATATAAGCTGTATGATTCTATTTTTACAAAACTGAAAAACAGGGCCAGGTACAATGACTCACTCCCATAGTCCCAGCACTTTGGGAGGCTGAGGAGAGAGGACTGTTTAAGCCCAGGAGTTCAAGACCAGACTAGGCAGCATGGTGAGACCTCATCACTACAATAAATAAAAAAAAAATTAGCTGGGCATGGTGGGTGTGCACCTGTAGTCCCAGCTACTTGGGAGGCTGAGGCAGGAGGACTGCTTGAGCCCAGGAATTAGAGGCTGTGGTGACCTGAGATCATACCACTGCACCCAAGCCTGAGTGACAGAGCAAGTCCTTAACTCAAAAAAAAAAAAAAAAAAAAGGATAAACAGACAAGAGTAATATATGGTCATGGAAGTCAGGAGAAAGAAAGGTGATCCTGGCCAGGGGGACAGATGAGGCGACAGGGAGGGTCCCAGTGCTGCTGAAGCACCAGAAATGTCCCATCTCTGACCTGGTTACCAGCTGCATAGGGCTGTTCATTTTGCAAAAATCCCTCAAGCTGTACTCTCACAGTGTTTGCATTTTTATCTATGCATGTAATGCACCAATTAAAAGTTCCCTCAATGACAGCCAGTGTTTATGAAATATTCTAAGTCCACATTAAAAAAAAATGGTCATGCTCATCAATACAGTCCCTAGCAGGACTGGAGAACCAGGAACCAGACCCTTAAAGGAACACCTATTGTACCCAGGAAAATCACTGGTCACATCTATGCAGCTTGAATCTCGAGGAAACTTCATGACCTCACAACCACTTCTAAAAAGGCACAGGACTCTGGTGGCTCCAGGCCCTCAGGCTGATCCATCATCCTATCCAAGAACGGATGCTGTTCTCCTGCTCCCACCAGGAGGAAAGATCTCCCTCCCCCGCACTCCCCTCGCTTCCGAGAAGCCATCTGACCAGCCTCAAAGCTTACCTTAAAGTTGGACCTGCATATGGTAGCGGCCTGGCTCATTCCTTCTCCTGTCAGAAAGAAGATAAGTAACATTGATGAAAACTTAATTCCATGAATCATGGAGGAAAATTATTTTTAAAAATTGTTCTGTGACCTAACCTTTCCGTTGTCCAATATGACTTCACTTAGAGTCTGTGAGACAGTGAGCTCATAGGATATCAGAGCTGGTACACTTCCACAGAGATGCCCTAGTCCAGGGGTGGCAAGTACAGGCACACAAGCCACCACTTTCTCTTCCCACAACCATGGAAGACAACGTGTTTCCTCTGAAACACGGCACACGTTTCCTCTGAGTCCAGATGTAGCCTCAGAATCCTTCTTACCACAGTGCCCCTGGCAGCCATGAATCAACTGGAGATAGTGTATGTTTGGAAGCTTCTTGTGGTTTTTTCCTGCTGTCCCCTCAGGAGCCCTCTGGATAGCTGGGGCCATCTGTCCTCTGCCAGGCTCCTCCAATAGTGGGCAGTATGCTGCATCACAATTTACTGGAATGGTATTTTCTCAATACCTACTTGACACAGGCACCAGGCTGCTCTTCTGCTGCTCTTCTGCTCTCCCATGCCCCAAAGGCTGGCTCCCAACACTTCCTCCCTTGGTCCTGACTTCCCCTGGGGGTGGCACAGGGCAGGTGTGCCCCTCAGCCCCAGTAAGGCCTGGGTCCCCCAAGCCTGCCGCTCCCCAGACTCTTTCATCCAGATCCCAACTTAGAACATCAGAACTGCAAAGGTTCTGTGGACCCTGTACTTTCTGGATAATATCTCCCTTCACCATAGCACCCTCTTCTGGACGTGTTCACCTCTAAACAGGCAGGAAGAAACCTACAATGAAACAAGACTGACATGCCCTCCAAGAACACACTCAAGGGTAGAGGGAGACCAGCCTGGAACTTATGACCTTTGCATTTAGTCCCAGCCTTGCCATCAGTCACCTAAATGACTCGGGGTGAATCCCTTTCTCTCTCTGAGCCTCGGTTTCCCGACCTGGAACTTGAAAGAATGGAACTAGCATAGCTTCCCAGAGGGCATACAGCAGGCATGGAGCTCTTTCTAGCAACCATGTCCTCCATGGAGCATCCTGCCCCCACAGAGGATGGTGCTTTGCTCCTTCTGGACCACCTCCTGAAGGACCAAGACCCTGGAAGTGGCAATAAGAAAAACCCAGCAGAACCTGGTGTGTGTAGACACGACAGGAAGAAGAGAGGCATCATGGATAAAGGAGGCTTGGCCAGAGTGCAGCCCAGGGGGTCTGTGTATGGCCACCAGGCAAGCCCCTGCCACCCAAGGGGTCCCCACAGGGACTGGACAATGACACTTGACTCTTCCTGGGAGCAGGTACTGCCTATACTTATACCTGGATTGACTTGCCCTCACAACAAACCATGCGGTCAAGACCCTTCGTGTCCCATTTCACAGATGACAGACTAGGGTACAGACAGGTTGGGCACAAAGTACCCAGCTGGACAGGGGCACAGCCACCGCCCACAGAGCCAGCTTCCTGCTTACTAACTGCTGCTCTGTTTGCGGAGCTGGGCTGAGCAGCCACAGGGAGACACAGCTCCTACAGGCGAGGTTCTCAGAGCTAGCCCAGGGTGGGGTTTGGGGGCCGGATGTGCTGGCTCTGTGTGGCCCCCAAGAGCTCAGCCAGGCCTGCCATGGGCAGACCCAAGAGGACAAGCTTCCAAGCATGCACATGATGAAATGCGCTGCCCACCTTGGTGGTAAGGATGGCGGTATGTGAGCCGGGACGAGACAGACCCTGACTGGGAGGCTAGAGGGGATTCCAGTGCAGAATGAGAATCTTGACCTCATGATGTCTAGCCCTCAGGGAGAACTCAGTGACAGGGTTAAAGCCAGCAGGCCCAGCCTGGCTTACTCTGAGCACACAGGTGTCCCCTACCCTTCCTTTTACTTCACAAGAGCCTCACGTCTCCAGGGCTATAGCAGCCACTCTCCCCTCCTTGCCACAGCTCAGAAGCCATCAGGGCAAGGAACCTGGACACACGTGCCCCAGAGACCCTGGGAACCTCTGCCCTCTCACGACGTACCTTTCAGGGCAACAGACAGGTTGATATCAAACGTGTAGGGCTGGTCATGACAGAGATACGGCAGGGGCCTGGGGTCCTGGGAGGGCAGAGCACAGCACAGAGGTCACAGGCAGGCAGGCTGAGCTCACTGGGTCCCCAGGCAGAGGGCCTGAGGCAGCAGGAGTGATCCCTCTCCGGGGACCCAGCACTGTGTCCCTGGACATGGTGTCCTTGGACTGGACATCGGGGGTGGGTGGTCATCTGAGCCAGGCTCCAGGAAAAGCAGCCAAGGAGAGGCATCAGCTAGTCAAAGTCACAAGAATCAAACTAGAGATGTCCCAGCAGGTCAGGCTAGGGAACAGTAGGGAAAGTGGGGGCTGGGGGACTGAGATGGGGAACAAAACAGGGTCTTTGGGGAAAGGCTGAAAGGGCAATGCCGGGCCCCAGAGGGTGGAGAGTCAGGAGCCAGCAGAAGCAGACAGCCTGGCTGGTGCTGGAGCAGCAGGGGAGAAGCATTGACCGCCAGGACGGGACATCTGTGCTTTGGCCAAAAGCGATGTTTTCCCAAAGTGTGATACATGAGTCTCTGGTGGGATCTGAGCTCTCTTGGTGATTTTAATAGCTACATGTTTCTTTTTATGATTAACAGTTAGGCTTGTGATGCTGGTAGGAACATAAAGTTCCTTTTCTCAAAACATTGTTCAAGTTTTAAACTGGGAGCTGCTCTAGAGAAAAACATTCAAGGTTGGGCACGGTGGCCCATGCCCGTAATCCCAGCACTGTGGGAGGCCAAAACAGGAGGATTGCTTGAGTCCAGGAGTTTGAGACCAGCCTGGACAACATAGCGAGACCTCATTTCTATAAAACATTAAAAAATTAGCCAAGTGTGGTGGCACACACCCATAGTCCCAGCTACTTTTTGGGAGGTGGAAGTGGGAGGATTGCCTGAGCCCAGGAGGTTGAGGCTGCAGTGAACCATGATTGTGCCACTGCACTCCAGCGTGGGTGAAAAAAATGAGACCCTGATTTAAAAAAAACAAAAAACAAAGAAAACATCCAGAAGGAGAAAAAAGTCATGATGGTTATATAAAAATGGCACTTGGGAAGAGCTGGTGCAGAGGAGGGTGGAACCTGGATATTTTAGGCCAGGGCCCCTGCAGGAAGGTGGAGGACTGGAGGACAATGAGCAGGAGGCTGCGGGAAAGAGACATGTCCTGGGGATTGGAAATGATGGGAGGAGGGGCTTTGGCAGGAACTGCGATGAGGGAGCAAGAGGCCAGCAGGACCTTCATGAGAAACTGGCTTGTGGGGCGAGACCCCAAGTTTTGGAGGTTGTTTTTGTTTCTGTTTTTAGTGGAGCGAACATAAAATGACCCGAGAGGCAGAAGAGCTGGGACGATGGTCTGGACGCAGGAGTCGAGCAAGGTAGTGGTGGAGCTAGGAGGTGGTGGAGCTAGGTGGTGGAGACCCCAAGCAAGTTGACCCTGAGCGAGTTGGTGGTAGAGGCTCCCAGTGAGGCGGTGATGGAGGCCCCGGGCGAGAGAACGAGGTGAGATGCTCATGGATGGATGGGCAAATGGCTGGGAGCTCGGCTTGGCCCCCATGGGAAGGACAGAGTTGGAGTCAGCATCATGAGGACTCAGGGACACCAGAGAACAAGGACAGGTCACATGCCAGAAGCCAAGAGGCAAGAGACTATTAAGGAAGAGTGAGGGTTCCCAGGAGTCCACACTGAAAGGGGACACAAGGTCACTGCACTGCCAGAGGTCACGAGTGACCCTGACCAGGCATCACTGATGATGGGTGGGGTAGCAGTCAGACTGACAGGTGGAGGGTGGGATGAGACCCGGAGTGGGGCCCCAGACAGTGGTACTGAGGACAGGAGGCTGTTGGAGTCACTACCGTCCCTGGGTGCCAAACTGCATTCTAAGAGTTGGGCTCCAGGGGGCGCCATTCACAACCTGCTGGTGACCTGAGAAGCTGCACAACCCGCTAATACTGGCAGGGACCCCTTCTCCTTCCAGCTGGCCAGTTGCCCTGGCCTTGGAGGATTCTGAAGGTTACGAAATTCTGTGTTTTCCCCCAAGAACTGTGCCGGTGCAGGGAAACCACAAGGGAGAGTGACTGGTGTCATGGTTGCCTGGAGGTCACTGGGACTGGGATCGCGCAGGGCACATCCGTGTGGGCATGGAGCTCCCTCCTGACGGTCTGCCCGCCTGGTGTCTGCTGACTGGCAAGCGGCCTCCAGGGCAGCAGGGCTGGGTTCAGGAGCCTCCCTCAGGGGTGTGCTTACCTGATCTGGGTTGGGCACAGCAAAGGGCATGAGGGCATCCATGGGCACCACCCATGGGGAGATGGTGGTCCCAAAACTCTTCCCGAGGAATGGTCCAAGAGGGACATACTCCCATTTCTGAATGTCTCGAGCTACAGAAGAAGGCAGACCCAAGGCTTACAAAGGTTGACCAGGCCTCGCCCCAAGGCCCCCTCCTGCCCTTGACCAAGAAGCAAAGAGACCCAGCACAGGCCTCTCTATCGAGCTGGGGCCCTAACCAGGATGTCCCAGGATCCAGGGGCAAGAACATTCAATGCTGAGGAGAGAGGTCCTTTGAGAGCACTGTGCCAGGTTACAGCAAAGAGAAAATAACCACAGGATAACCCCCACGAAGGGGCCAGAAGCTCAGCCTCAAGCTGGGAGACAGACATTCCTGGGACCTAGGGCGCCATTTTCCTCTCACATGGGGCATAGGGCTGGGAGGTCAGGCTCAGAAGCTGGGATGCTAAGCTTCCAATCCTAGCTTGGCAACAAACTGAAATCTCTCTGTGCCTCAGTCCCTCATTCTGTATAATGGGAATGATAATATTACCAGTACCTTGTAGGGATCAGCAGGACATGTGGACTGTTAGGCATAGGGACAAACGCAAAATAAGTGCTCAATAAATACGAGTTATGATGTCAGCCATGTCCCTATCAACTTATGGGAAAACTGGAGCTCAGACAGGTTAAGTGAATTGCCCAAGTTCCCAGAGCCGGAAACCGAAACTCAAACCCACACTCTCTGCTACTGGTAGTACCTGCTGCCCTTAACCAGCAACAGACCCAGGAAACCATCCTTGGCTTTTGTGAAAGTGTCCCCAACCCCCAGTCACTGTCCCCTACCCCATCCCCACCAGAGTTCCAGGAATTACCGCTCCAGTCGTTCATAAGGACCATCCCAAAGATGTGCTCGTGGGCCTTGGAAATGGGGATCGGATCCCCAAATCTATTCCCGGGGCCTACAAAGAAAGCCTGACACAGGGGGGAGATGGTTAGAATCTGGGGCTGACCCAGGTGCACCCCAGGTCACCTGGCACCTAGACAGCAAAGGTCAGGTATTTCCAAACCCCACCAGGGACCAGGACTGCCCCAGGGTCCTAGCACAAACGCACTGCATCTCTAAGTCACAAGCCACGTCCCAGCGGTCAAGCAGCCACCTCAGGAAAGCAGCGTGCAGCAACAGGCCAGGGCCCACCTGAGGCCGCCTCATGCCCCTGATTCCCACAGCAGTGTCCCCTGTCTCCTTCAGTGCGTCCCGGGCCACTCCGCCCTTTCCTCTTCACCCAACACACACTTTGCCTTATTGGACTTGAACTTGACAGCTTGTGAAAAACGAAAATACCAGGCTTTGTATTCATATCACAGAAAATCAAAAGGCCACCTCCTGAATGCAGAAAAGAACACCTGTCAGAGAACCCCCTATGGCCCAACCCCTCACCTCGCCTTGGACCCTAAGTTTTCACCCCACAACCTCTGAAGAAAAACAGCACCAACACCACATCCATGGGCCAATAACATAACCAGACATCACAAGGAGGAAAAAATGGAGAAGGTCTCTTTCAGAATCACCTAGACTCAGCTATGACATCTGTAAAACTTGAGTTGTTTTCAACACCACAGTTCAGTGTTTAAACACTGCCATTTGTCTTCAAAATAAAAACAACCCCCCCAGGGGCCCCCATTTTATGGGGAATCCCACCACCTTCCAGTCAGATGGCCTGTGCCCTCCACCCCAACCATTTCTCTACACTCTAACTTTCCATCTTTCCTCTGCCCGTCCATGCCCAGCAAGGACCAGCACAGGGGAAGCCTCTGCCCCCAGAGCCCTTCTTTTTTCCAGAGAGAAGATCCTGACCCCAAACTAGGCTTCAGGTGCCCTGCTCTGGTGAATCTCGTTGGGGTCCTCCTTGGGGGTCTCCTGTGGCACCCTCACCAAGACAGCAGGAGGCAGAGGCTGGTGGGGAATGCCACCTCCCTGGGGACTGTATGAAAGTACCCACTCATTTCTCTCCTCTGGACCAAATCCAGAGAAACCACAGGGCAGCACAGGAGACACAAGGTGCTCCAGAAAAGCCGTCTGGGTCTCCAGCCTGCCTTTACCAAGCCTGGTTTCCCACTGCCACAGCCTGACTGGGTAGCCCCATGGCCTTTTCTTCTCCACCTGCAGTGATAGGGATGCTCAGAGCTTTCCAGGGCACCACCTAGAACCATGGACATCCCCCTCCATCTATCTGCCCCTATGGGTCCTGGCTTACCCTTGGTCATCCAACAACCAGCAGACGCTGAAGGCCCAGCCATGTCCCCAGAGCCCTCCCTCCTCTAGTTCAGCTCCTTCCTGCCACTTTCCCGGTCCCCTCACCTTACAGGTTGCCCAGAGTTCCATATGCCTCCTAAAATGGGCAACCCTGCAGCAGGAGGGATCCTTGGGGATTAAGGTCAACATCCTGGCTTTGATACCACACCACAGTTACGCAGGATGTTACCACCAGGGAGTCTGTGAGAAGAGTTTAGGGAATTTTCTCTGCATTATTTCTCACAGCTCCATGTGAGTTGACAACGAGCTCCAGATAAAAAGTTTGATTTTAACATGTGTGGATCCCTGAAGTGACCACCGTTCTGAGGTTGTGTGGGTCTAGCCACAAGTGCCATGGGGCTGATACTATCGATTCTTATTATCTGTGGTAGTTACATTCTATAAAGTTACCACAGGCCAGGTGCGGTGGTTCATGCCTGCAATGCTAGCAGTTTGAGAGGCTGAGGCAGGAGGATGATTGGAGGCCAGGAGTTTGAGATCAGCCTGGGCAACATAGCAAGATCTTGTCTCTACAAAAAAAAATTTTTTTTTAATTAGCCAGGTGTGGTGGTGCCTGCCTAGCTACTCGGGAAGCTGAGGCAGGAGGATTGCTTGAGTTTATAGGATGAGCTGAGACAAGAAAGCAGAGCCAGTGTTACCCTGGGAAAGTTCACGTCAGACGACTCATATTTTTCACTGCTCTGTGCATGTCCGTGAGTGTCCTCAAAAGCTCTGTGAATATTCATTTTAGGGCTACAAGTAAATATTTGCAAGTAGGTGAATTCCGAAATACAGATTCACATTAGCTGGGCGTGGAGACACACACCTGTAGTCCCAGTTATGTGGGAGGCGGAGGCAGAAGAATCACCTGGACCTAGGAGGTCGAGGCTATGGTGAGCTCTGATTGTGCCTCTGTACTCTAGCCTGTATGTCAGAGTGAGAGCCTGACTCAAAAATAAAAAAACATACAGATTCTGCAAATAACAAGGTTCTACTGTACTTCCAAAGGTCAAGTGGGGACCCAGAGCTGCTACCGTTGAGGCTGAAGGCAGGAACAGCTGGCAGCACAGAAGCTGCCCCAGAGAGCCCTCCTGCCATAAGGTTTCTATGGTCCTCAGCCACAGGACACCGAGGCTCAGCTCACCATCTCCAGCTCTATATCCAGGAGTTTACAGGCACCATACACAGGCGGCTTGGCTGGAATAACACCAGAAAAAAAGAGGCTTTGTAAGTGTCAGGCTGTGGAAGTCACTGCATGGGCACAAGTGGGACCTAGACATCGGGGTCACTTACAGTCGTCAGGTCTCATTTGTCCCGTGGGTCTTCGGATTGGGGTGCCAGACACCACTACGGAGGAGGCACGACCATGATAGCCCACGGGCAAGTGCAACCTGTTGAAGGAAGGCAAGAGAATGCAGGGCATAGAGCTGTTACAGATGTAATTTTTAAAATTTAGGTCAGATATGGTGGCTCATGCCTGTAATCCCAGCACTTTGAGAAGCCAAGACAAGAGGGCATCACTTGAGCTTAGGAGTTTGAAGCCAGTGTCTGGGTCACAAAGTGAGACCTCAACTCTACAAAAAAGTCAAAAAATTAGCCCAGCACGGTGTGCTCCTGTAGTCCTGCAACTTGGGAGGTTAAGGTGAGAGGATCACCTTAGTCCAGAAGGCTGAGGCTGCGGTGAGCTGTGATCATGTCACTGCACTCTAGCCTGGGCAACAGAGTGAGACTCCGCCTCAAAATATAAATAAAAATAAAAATTAGAAACAAGGAATTTCCATATAGTTCGAAAATCAAAAGGTACCCCAAGTGTCCACTCATGGAAGAATGGATAAATAAAATGTGGTATATCCATACAATGGAATATTATTCAACTTCAAAAAAGAAGGAAAGTGTAACACATGGATGAGCTACAGCACAGATGAACCTCAGGTACATAATGCTAAGTGAAATAAGCCAATCACAAAAAGACAAATACTGCATGATTCCACTTTATGAGGTAGCTAGAGTTGTTGAATTCATAGAGACAGAAGGTAGAATTAGGTTTTCTAAGGGCTGGGTGGAGGGGGAATGGGGAGTTATTGTTCAATGGGTGGAGGGGTAATGGGGAGTTATTGTTTAATAGAGTTTCAGTTTTGCAAGGTGAAAGGGTTCTGGAGACAGATAAGGATGATGGTTGCACAACAACGTAAATGCACTTAACATCACTCTACACTTATAGATGGTCAAGATGCTCAATTTTATCTTATGTGTGATTTTTTTTTTAATGTTCTGTTATAGGCCAGGTACAATGGCTCACACCTGTAATTCCAGTACTTTGGGAAGCCAAGGGAGGAGAACTGCTGGAGTCTAGGAGTTCAAGCCCAGCCTGGGCAACACGGCAAGACCTCAACTCTACAAAAAATAAAAAATTAGCCAGGAGTGGTGGCTCATACCCATAGTCTCAGCTACTCAGGAGGCTGAGGCAGAAGGACTGCATGAGCCCAGGAGGTCGAGGCTGTGGTGAGCTGTGATTGCACCACTGTACTCGAGCCTGGGTGACAAAGTGAGACTCCTACTCAAAAAAAAACAATATTTTTTAGGTTATGTGATTTCTTAAAAATCAAAAGGTACTTAAGGGTAATGTAAGACTTTCTCCCACCCTGGTCTAGAGCACCCATGGGGTGCTGAGGTAAATGCTAGACAAACAGCCAACAGCAATGGTTACCCTGTCCACAGCACTTAGCTCAGGCCAGGAGCCTTGCGAGGTGCTGTTTGTATTGTCTCCCTTTTCACCTAATCCTCATGAGAGCCCTGCACCACAGGTGTCATCAGCCAGCACCAAGCAAACGTGGGCTCCAAGTGTGCCTCTGGCTTGGCCACGGTCACCCATTATGAAGTGGTGGCACCAGGATTCAAACCCAGGTCTCTCTGAATGCAAAGTTCTGCTGCTTGCTCTGCAACCCACTCCCCACTTAATACAAGAAGACCCTGGGAATAGGTCACACAGCGGGGAGCAGAAGGGCCATCCTGGGGCAACCAGCACATCATCAAGAGCTCTGTTTATAAGACAGAAATACAGGAGAGGACTTGAGAAAGGAAGCACTCCCAAATAGCAAAGCACACTGCAAAGCGATTTACAATAGCATGGCACTGCCTGAGCCCGCAGGTTCAAGACCCGCCCGGGCAACTTGGCAAGACCTCATCTCTACAATAAATCCAAAATTAGCCAGGCGTGGTAGCGCGCACCTGTAGTTCCAGCTACTCAGAAGGCTGAGGCGGAAGGATCGCCAGAGCCCAGCAGGTCGAGGCTGTGGTGGCCGGGAGTGGCCGCTGCACTCCAGTCTGGGTGACAGAGTGAGATTCCAACTCAAAAAAAAAAAAAAATAGCACGGCACTCCTGTGAGGGAATCAACCAAATACACTGAGAACTGCGTGTAGGTGAAAATGCAGTACATGATCGATAAAAACGGAAATGATATAGATGAACAATCCCCTTCTGGGAATATACTCAGAGGAACTCAAATCGCTCTATGAAAAAGATACCTGCACACGCATGATTATTGCAACGTTATTCACTATAGCAAAAACACAGAATCAGCCGTGCTGCCCATTGATTAAAAAAATGTGGTACATATACATGAGGGAATATTATGTAGCCATAAAGAAGGACAAAATGATGAACTTCGCAGCAACTTGGATGGATTTAGAGTCTATCATACTCAGTGATCTATCACAGAAGCAAAGAACTGAGTACCACATGCTCTCACTCATAATCGGACCCTGAACAATTATCATAATACTGTAAGAAAGGGATTGGCAGTAGCTGGAAACTGCTGGTGGGGTGGGGAGTACATTTCATCAAGAAGGATACCTGATTTCAAACCAGGTGAAGTGGGGACCAAAGTGAGGCCCAAACTTTACCTGCACAATGACCATTTATATACCTAACCTTGAATGGCACCCATCTTTAAAATAAAAATTGAAAAAAATGATGTTCGTGATGGGATTAGTTAGCATTGAACGGTAGCTCCTCAAAAGATATGGTGACACCATAACCCCCAGAAAATGTGGAAAAGAGCCTTTATAGATGTAACTAAGTTGAGGATCTTGAGATGAGATCATCCTGAATTATACAGGCAGGCCCGAAGTTCAATGGCAAATGTCCTTATAAGAAACAGAAGATGGCCAGGTGTGGTGGCTCACATCTGTAATCCCAGCACTCTGGGAGGCCGAGGCGGGCAGATGACTTGAGCCCAGGAGTTCAAGACCAGCCTGGACAACACAGCAAAATCTCATCTCTATAAAAAAAATCAAAAAATTAGCTGGGCGTGGTGGCATGCACCTGTAGTCCCAGCCACTCAGGAGGCTGAGGTAAGAGGATCACCTGAAGCCAGGAAGTCAAGGCTGTGGCGAGCTCATGATCATGCCACTGCACTCCAGCTGGGTGACAGAGCGAGACCCCAACTCAAAAGAGAGGGTAAGGGGAGGGAGAGGGAGAGAGACAGAAAAGAAGCCAAAGAGAAGTCAAAGAAAAGAAGAGAAGGCCATGTGAGGACAGAGGCAGAGACTGACATGAGGTAGCCACAGGAACACCCACAGTCACCAGAAGCTGAAAGCAGTGAGGAAGCAGTTGCCTAGACTCTTCTATGGGAGCACGGCCATGCCAACACCTTAAGTTCAGATGTTTGGCCTCCAGAACTGTGAGAGAATTAATTACTGATGTTGTAAGCTACCCAGTTTGTGGTACACTGTGAGATCAGCCCCTGGAAACTAATACAGGCCCATACCTCTCCTCACACGTAAAAGCAAAGTCCAGATGGATAAAGACCAAAATGTACAAAGAAAGGCTATTGCAGGCACTAGAAAAAAAATATAAAAAATATTTTCAGGTTCTTGGGATGGAGAAAGCCTCTCTAAACATGACACAAAAGTAAATGCCATAAGGAAAATGACTGGCATGTTTGACTTTATGAAAATGTAGAGCTTCTGTTTCTAGAAAGATGGCAAGCAAAGTTAATAGATAATATATTGGGAGAAAATATTTGCAAGACATTGCCAAGGAGGGTTAATTTCTATCTCTTTCAAACTAATAAGAGAGATGTGACTATATAGATGAACTGGCAGAGAAAATGCAGAAACATCTGTGAAAAAATATATAAAAAACTAGTATGGGTGCAGTGGTTCACACCTGTAATCCCAGCACTTTGGGAGGTCAAGACCAGAGGATTGCTTGAGCCTAAGAGTTCAAGACCAGCTGAGGCAACATAGACCTCATCTCTACAAAAAATTAGCTGGACATGGAGGAATGTGCCTGTAGTTCCAGTTACTTGGGAGGCTGAGGCAGAAGTATCGCCTGAGCCCAGGAGGTTGAGGTTGTGGTAAGCTGTGATAATGCCACTGTACTCCAGCCTGGGTGACAGAGTGAGACCCCCAACTCAAAAAATATATAGATATAGATATAGGTATAGGTATAGATATACAGAGGGTGCCAAAAATGTATACACATTTTAAGAGCAAACTGTATTAAAACTGCAATATTTACTATGTACCAATAACAAGAGATGAATATAAGTCAAATTAGACTTCTGCAATTACAAGAAGTGCTCAAAATGGTTACCCTCGTCATCCAGACACTTCTGATTACAGCGAACTAAAAGTAATCATCGCTTATAACGTGTATACATTTTTTGGCACCCCTGGTGAATATAGATATATATATATTTTTCAAAAACAGTAACAGAACTACTATGAGGATCAAATAAATGAATGTAACAGCCCACATTTTGAGGAACAGACAGTACCAGGCACACCTGAGAGTTCTCATTCATCTGAACATATAAGCACGGAAGGTGCTAAGACTCATCAAGAAACAAAAATAATACACAGTTTTAGCCAGACGTGGTGGTTCACACCTCTAATCCTAGAACTCTGGGAGGAAGAGGCAAGAGGATTGCCTGAGCCTACCAGTTCAAGCCCAGCCTGGGCAACTTGGTGAGACCCCGTCTCTACAATAAATCCATAAATTAGCTGGGCATGGTGGTGTGTGCCTATAGTTCCAGCTTCTTGGAAGGCTGAGGTGGAAGAATCACCTGAGCCCAGTAGGTCGAGGCTGCAGTAGCCATGAGCATGCCACTGAACTCCAGCCTTGGTGACAGAGTGAGACTCCGACTCAAAATAAATAAATAAATAAATAAATATATGGTTTACAAATGAAAGACTCCAGAAGGACCTTAGCAACTTAGAGAATCGAATCCCAACCCTTGCTGTGTAGACGGAGGAGCTTAAGGGACTGGCCATACAATCCCACAGCAGGTGCTGAGCCAAGGTGAACAGACTAGAAGCAAAGGCCCCCGTTTCCAGAGGCTGCAATAGCATGGTCACTACCAATTTTCCTCCTCAGTTCACTTTAACCTAAGGGGGGCTTGGCAGCTCCTGAGACAAACACACAACTGGAAATGGAAAGACAGACTTTGAACTTCTCCACACGTCTGGAACAGGACATACCAATTAGGCATCAACGCACTCTCCTTGCCCCTGAACATGATGCCGACGTTGGTTGCGTGCTGCCGAGAAGAATAGAAGTCCGTGTAGTCTCCTGTAGATGAAAGACCCAGGGGATCCCATCAGTGACCCAGATGCCGCAGGAAAGACGAGGGACAGTTCTAAGAGTGCACACAATGTCTACACAGCCCAGAGCTCTGTAGCAATTATTCCAGCAGTTATAGCATCATATGCAACACAAACAGCCTCACTAAGGATTCAGATTTTTTGCTGCTGCTTTTGATTTTTAGAGACAGGATCTCATTCTGTCACCCAGGCTGGAGCACAGTGATATGATCATAGCTCACTGCAGCCTCAAACTCCCAGGATCAAGCAATCCTCCCAACTCAGCCTCCCAGGTAGCTGGGACTACAGGGTTATGCCACCATGCCTGGATAATTTCTTTTAATTTTTAATTTTTTGTAGAGATAGGGTCTTACTATGTTGCCCAGGCTGGTCTCGAACTCCTGGCCTCAAGCTATACTCCTGCCTCAGCGCCCCAAAGTGCTGGAATTACAGGCCTGAGCCACCACACCTGCCAAGATTTGGCCAAGATTCATTTTTAAAGGCCCTATCTGAGAAACACAAAAGAAATAAGGAGACAAGATTGTCCAAAACACACAGTGGAACATGAAGATGGCTGATACCAACCCCCTTCTCGGGGCTTCTACCATAGACAACTGCTTGTGACCCCCAAGGCTCTCTCACACACCTCTGCTGCCACCTGATTCTCTCTTGTCCCTGTGTGTTCAAATCCTCACACCCCTTTGGGGTGTTCTCCTCCCTGAAGTCCTCCCCACTCTCTCTAGCAGGATTTCTGCCCCCCGAGTCCCTTCCTCTGAACCCTCCTCAGGGCAGGCCTTGTGTCCTACTGCTGTTCTGGTCATGCGTGTATACATCTTTGCCAGCTTGTGGCCACTTCAGGGCAGCCCCAGCACTGTCCTTATTTGTTGGACTCTCCCCTGGAGCCAAGGACAAGGGCATGCACATGGCAGGTGCAAATCAATGCCTGTTGATTATGATGGTCTGAACAGGGTGGCTTGCAAGCTGCAGTCTCTCATGCAGGAAATGGATTGCTAAAATGTACAGGAAAAACCAGTTGGGACAGTCTGCCTGTTTATCTTCCTAAATCTCCCCTCTAAAAAAAAAAAAAAGTTGGGCATACACCAACAACAGTCTAGACTAACAACAGAAGTGGTGAAGTGAAAAGTCTATGGGCAGACTGAGACTATGCCCTTGCAGCTGCCTCCCATCTTCAATCCCAATGTACAGAAGTCATAGCTGAGATATTTCTCATGAGAGGCTGAGACAGGAGGATAACTTGAGCCCAGGAAATCAAGACCAGCCTGAGCAACATAGTCTCTACACACAAAAAAAATCTCCACAAAAAAAGAAAAAGTCACACACAAAAAATTAGCTGGGTGTGGGGACTCACACCTGTAGTCCCAATTACTCAGAGACTGAGGCGGAAGGATTGCCTGAGCCCAGGAGTTTGAGGCTGTGGTGAACCATAATCGTGCCACTGTACTCCAGTCTGGGAACAAAGTGAGACCCTGACTCAAAACATAAATAAATAAAACAAGAAAGGGCACCATCAGTTAGCCAAGCATGAGGAATCCCTCAAAGACAACTGGTTTGCCCAACAATTGGTTTGCCAAAACATACACAGCCCTTGAGTGCATGACAAGGAGGAGTGAGGAACTGGGAGGGAGAAAGTGACTTGGTCCCATCCCCAAACCAACCCTCTAGCCAACTGAGTCCAGGCAGCCAGAGGCAGAGGCTCTGCCCAAACTCAAGAGCTGGTCCAGAGAGCCCCATCTTCCCAAGGGCAGGGCCAGCCAGTCCCTCAGCACACAGGGGCCCAGGAAGCCCAACAGGGCAGGCAGACGGACAAGGAGGAAGATAGATGTGTCTTCCCTCTGCCTCAGGCTGAGTTTCAACAGCTCCAACCTCTTGACTGGCACTCCAGCCAGAAACCCTGCATGGCTCCAACCAGGCCCTTCACAGCCCTCTGGCCTCTTTTCTCTAAATTGCTGACTCACGGGCTGAGCTCAGAGCACTGGCCCCACAACCTTTGGGGAGAGAGGACAGAGATCCGCTGCGCGGGCACCCACGCAGCTAGTCACAACCCTGAGTGGCCTGCCACTACCTGAGGCCAGCACTGCAGCCCTGACCACAGCCTAAGCGAATGCCAGACCTAGGTGCCAAGAACGGTCAGTGATGGGGAAGCGGCAACAGCCCCTCAGCCCCTCCTCGGATCCTCCCCCGCCACCCGTGGAAGGGACCCACGGCATATGGCCAGCCCTCTCAGGCCACTCAACCACTCTGTCACTATCTTAGTGAAAAGAATGCACTCACCTATGGTGGCTGGAAGGTGCATCGTGGCAGAAGCCTGGGAGGTGAATGCGCTGAAATATAGAACCAGGTCTTCAAGGTCAAACAAGTGGTGAAAGGGGGGGTGTCGCTGCTCTGGTCACCCACCCGCAGGCAAAGCCCAGTCATCCCCCGGATCCCGCTCACATCTCCAGTGGGGCCAGAGCTAGGCTGACCCTGTCCACAGCAGAGAGGACAGCTACCCACTATGGTCGAGACGCCTCTCCTGTGTCCACATTCCCTCTAGGAAACGGAACCAGAGCACTGGGGCTCCTTTCTGCTCTGGAAACCACACAAGCCACAGAGGATGCTGATGAGTACTAGCTGGGTCAGAGAGGGGGTCTGGGACCTAGTCTGGCCAGGACAGCTCCGTTCCATCCCACTCAGAGCCCTCCCACCAACTTGTCACCCCAGGCAGGAGCTGGATAGGGTCCGACTTGGCCACACTGAGGCAGCAAGACAGGACTCAGTGGCCCTGAGTACCACACGGTCCTCATCTTCCCTGCCGTGTCCCCTGCTCTCCACCCACATCCATGTGCTCCTCACCGCTTCCGAAGCTCCGTGTCATCTCGGAGCCTGGCTTGGCCAGCAGATAGCAGATTCTGCAAGAATGCTCTCGCCTCCTTCCAGGCAGCCTGACCCAGGCCCATAAAGCTGTTGAGAGCTGGCTAGGACCGAAACAGGGAGGAAGAAGATCACACACAGGAGGGCCCGGGGTATCCCTCCTGTCGATGGAAGGCTCGCCAGCCTGGCCACTTTCCTCCTGCTCACTCAAACTCTCCAGCCCTATACTTCTTTTTAGTTTTTTGAGTCAGAGTCTTACTCTGTCACCCAGACTGGAGTGAAGTGGCACACTCACAGTCACCTCAGCCTCAACCTGCTGGGCTTAGGCGATCCTTCCACTTCAGCCTTCTAAGCTGGAATTACAGGCATGTGCCACCATGCCCAGCTAATTTTTTTATTTATTGTAGAGATGAGGTCTTGCCATCTCGCCCAGGGTGGTCTCAAACCCATGGGCTGAGGTTATCCTCTCGCCTCCCAAAGAAGCTGCCAGGCATGAGCCACCGTGCTGTCTTCTATTCATCAAGCTGGAGAAAGGCATCACCTTTCTGATGTTGCTTCATGCCCTCATGGACTTATACACAACTGCACGAGCACAGGGGCTGCTGTCTGGCATGGTGGCCACGTGAAACCTGGCCTGGCCTTCAGTTAAGGGGGCTATGTTCCTCCAGTGAAGGCATACTCCAATCAGCAGGGGTATTGTGACCTAATCCAATCCCTTTTCTCCCTTCCTTCCTTCCTTTCTTTTTGACAGGGTCTCACTCTGTTACCCAAGCTGGAGTGCAGTAGCATGATCGTGGCTCACCATAGCCTTGCCCTCCTGGGCTCAAGTGACCCTTATGCCTCAGACTCTCAATTAGCAGGGACTACAGGCACATGCCACCACATCTCGCTAATTTTAAAATTTTTTTGTAGAGATGAGGTCTCGCTATGTGACCCAGGCCGGTCTTGAACTCCTGGGCTCGAGCAATCTTCCCATCTCAGCCTCCTAAAGTACTGGGATTACAGGCGTGAACCACCACACCTGCCCAAAACCAATCCCTTCCATGTCAGGTAAGAAGAGGTTTCATAACCAGTGAGGCATGGCAGAAAAAACTCATGTGGGTCCTAAGAGTGAGCGTTCCGGTCTCTGCTCTAATACTTCTAACTGTGTGGCCTGGGAGAACCATTCTCATTCTCTGTGCTCAGATCCCCATCCATCCAGAGATGATTCTGATTCTTGTGCCAGAGGGAGGTTGGAGGATTGAAGGAGAGGATGTGTGTAGAGTTCCTGGCACAAAGGTGGGATTCCACACGTACCCTGCTCCTTCCTGCCCCAGAAAGAGGGAAGCAGCATGTCCAAAGAGCTAACTGGCCAGGCACAATGGCTCATACCTGTAATTTCAGCACTTTGGGAAGCCAAGGCGGGCAGATTGCTTGAACCCAGGAGTTTGAGACCAGCCTGGGCCACATAGCAAAATCTCACCTCTACAAAAAATAAAAAAATAAAAAAATTAGTCAGGCATGGTGGTACATGCCTGTAGTGCCAGCTACTCAGGAACTCAGGATGCCGAGGTAGAAGGATCACCTGAGCCCAGGTCAAGGCTGCCATGAGCTACGATTATGCCACTGCACTCCGGCCTGGGTGACAGAATGAGACCCTGACTCAAAAGTAAAAATAGTAACTGACCATTTACAGGAAGTAAATTCATGTTCATCCCACATGAACATGTACTTTAGTGTACTTTAGGCTGACTCCTTGGGAGGAGACTGGGTATGGTGGCATGTACCTGTAGTCCCAGCTACTTGGGAGGCTGAGGGAGAAGGATCACATGAGGCCCAGGAGAGTCTGCCCTGGAGGAGGTGACCTGGAGAGCCCAGCTACTCATTCCCAGACTGGGCCTCAGTCTTTCCCACTGGGAAATGGCAAATCTGTCACAGCAGGCAAAGAGCTGAACCACCTGGACCCAAGTGATTGTCCACACAGGGGATGTGCAGAACAGACCCTTGGGCCACATCTATGACCCTGGCCCCGCACCCAGCTGGAGAGCAGAGCTCGTAGCCTCCTTGGGGAGCCCACACAGGCTTTGGACAAGAAGAGGCTCAAACAACTTGATGAGGAAATTAACCAGACATCCTGAAGACCTTCACCTCAGAGACATCTAGGAAAGACCGAGCACCGCCAGGACACTAACTAGCTTTTCACCTAGGAACCTACCTGGGGATGAGATGCCACCCTGAGGTACACCCCTGCCACCTCGTCTGTCTCAAAATGGCCCTAGCCTTACCCAAGTTAAACTGGGGGACCTCGGCCAGCACTGCCTCTATTGCAAGTGGAAGGCGGAGAGTATTTTCTTCGTAAATTTCATAATAAGTGCCACTGAGATCAGGGACAAGTCATGCCACAGTGTCCTACCTGATCAAAGACATCCTGGTGTTTGGAAAGGACAGGCCCGGTGAAGAGGTGCTTGATGACACTGAGGTCCAGAATCTGGTCGCCAATGGCCACCCCGATCCTCGGTCTTGGCTGGGAGGAAAAAGACGGCACTATCAGCTCTGGGAAAAGCCTTTGGCCAGGTGAGGTGCACTTACTCGGGAAGACTATCTCTTTAGAGCCCACGGTCCCCCTTCTGATGGCCTACTATGTGAAGAGGACTGATCAACTGAATCCCCAGCATCCTACCCAGCTCCCTTGTGCCATCTCTGCTTCCAGAACAAGAAGGAAAGAGAATCTGTGTTCCCTGAATGGAAAATAAATCAAATATCCCTCAAAGTGGGAAGACAAGGGATGGCCTCTCCAATCCTCTTATCCAGGCAAACTCCCCTGAAAAGTTCCCTAGGCATTGCTTAAATGCCTCCAGTGATAGGGAACTCACCACCTTACCAGAAAACTGGATTATTTTTTGGATTTAACCAAGGCCTTTGCTCGGGTAATTCATTTGAGCAGCAGAGCAATGAGTGCCCCAGCACAGTGCCAAGGACCAGGCAGCTTGGATGAATGTGCTTGCCTGGGCTCACATGGAGGAGAGCTTGGGAGGTAAGAGAACTGCCCGAAACCAATCTGCTCAGAATGTGTGAGGCATGTTCTCTTCTGCACCATGAAATCCCAGTATCCCTACTGACCTACTGACTCATCAGGTGTCTTAAATACTTCGCAAAGCCTTGAGCTTTGCCCATCAACAAGAAACCAGAGATCATGTCTACAGGCTTCACTTTCTGGGCTCTGGCAGGCTGAGAGAAGACGGCCATTTCTCCATGCATGTTAGCTCTTGGGGTCAGGGTAGACCAGAGCCACTCTCCTCCAATCCCTCGCTCTGAAACCCCACAGAGCTTGACCTGGAGAAGGCGGCCTGGAGAGCCAGCTACTCATTTTCAGCTTCACTGCTGACTCCCGGGGCCTCAGTCTCCCCCTCTGAAAAATGGGAATCTGTTGCTGCGGGCAAAAAGCTAAACCCTCCAAATGTCTGTCCACACAGGGGATGCGCAGGGCAGACCCCTGGGCCACATCTCTGACCCTGGCCCCACCCCCAGCTGCAGGCAAGAAGAAGCCACCACCATCAAGCATGCTCCGAAATCTGGTCACTATGTGGTTGCCTGCTTCTTCAGCTGTAAGCAAAACCTAGAAACATCAGGTAGTCACTTACTGCCCTCGTGCTTCAAAATATGACCCGGGGACCTGAGAAGAGAGTTGGGTAGGAATAAATCTCCTACTTTTAACCTTGGGCTTTGTTTTCTTCAGTGCCAGATCAGAAAGGTCTCCCAGGTGGGACCCAGGATATCTGGGCCACTAGCCTACTCCCTCACTCACCATTCTACCACTGTGGACAAGTTCCTGGTCCTCTCTGGGCCGTGGCTTGGCTTTCCATTTGTAATTTGAGGGAGACACACTAGGGAGAGAGAGCCCATGTACCTAACTTTAAGAGAACAAATATACTGTTTTATAACATTTGGCCACAGCTGATATAAAGTTGTCCAAAGGAAAGCTTTACCTAACTCCCAGATGGACGTAGAGGGGACAGTACAGGGTCAGGAGGCTGAAAGATATGAGGTCCAACCCCAAATCGGTCTCTTATTGGCTAGGAGACCTGGAGTGTGATGCTTAGCCTCTCTGGGTCTCAGTTTCCTCATCTGCAAAATGGGGACTATAGCCCCACTGTAGATTTACTGTGAGGATTCTATTTTTTTTTTTTTTTTGAGTTGGAGTCTCACTCTGTCGCGCAGACTGGAGGGCAGTGGCTGCTCCCGGCCACCGCAGCCTCGACCTGCTGGGCTCCGGCGATCCTTCCGCCTCAGCCTTCCAAGTAGCCGGAATTACAGACAAGTGTTACCACACCCAGCTAATTTTTTTATTTATTGTAGAGATGAGGTCTCGCCTGCCCAGGTGGGTCTCAAACCCGCGGGCTCAGGCAATCCACTCACCTCAGCCTCCCAAAGGCGCGGGATTACAGGCTGAGCCACCGAGCCCAGCTGAGGATTTTATTAATATCTGTAAATCTCTCACCACAAGCACATAAGACAGACACTCTTTATACTACAAACATCTAAGGCGCATTTCTCGGCACTGCATGAAAGTTGCTAAGACTCTGTGGACAGAAACAAAAGGAAACTCAGGGTGTGGTAAGAAGTAACCATGGCTGGGGTACAGCGGGGAGCTCATACTGACAAGGTACTTAGGGGACACCTCTCTGAGGAGATGACCCTAAGCTGAGTCCTGAAGGGTAAGAAGGAACCAGGCATGGAAGGAGCCGAAGGAAGAGCATTCCAGACAGAAGGAACAGCATGTGCTAAGGTCCTGAGGCAGGAAACTGCTCTTAGCATGTCTAAGAGACTGAAAAGCTGCCAGTATGGCTAAAGAGAGCGAAGGAAAGAGGCAGCGACGGGGCTAGACTACAGGGTCTTTAACAAGGCACTCAGGGGCTACCACCCCTACCTTCACAGAGAACACCACCGTATGCCCCACTAGTGCACAGGCAATGGAGACGGAGGGAGGGTGCCCTTGTATCTTTCTTTCACTCTCAACTCCCAGCCCAGGCAAGGACTGGCCCAGAGTTGGGGTTCATAAGCACTTGCTGAATAGAAGAATGAATGAAATCATGGCTGAATTAATGTGCTGTCTTCCAACCAAGTTAGGAAGTGCTGGCTGCCAACGTGGGGGAAGGGAGAAGAAGGTTTTTGCCTTGGCAACTAGCCCAGCCTGGAGAGGCAGCCGTCACCATTGGAATGTCCAGTGGCTGCAGTGACAACTTCATACGAAGCCCATTCAGGTGGAAGGCCCTGAGCCTTCTGGAAGGCTAAAGGGCCCGAACTCCACCCCAGCACTCTGATATCAGAGAGCAATAGGAAGGGGCTCTCTCTTCCAGATGTCCCTGGTGGCTGCCCCAAACATTCTAATATCTAAACAGCAAGGCATGGGGTCTTCTGAAAGCCCCAAGCCACACTCGAAGGGATATTAATTCGATTCTCCAGGAAACGCACGTCAGAGCACTCTACTGGGGTGCGCCTGCCACTCACAAATGTTTCTGTTGAATGTATTTGTGCTCCCAGAAAAGGTCAGGACACAACTGCTGAGAGGAAAGGGCTACAGGCGGACAGAGGGTGGGCTCTGCCAGCAGAGAGGGTGGTTGGCTAACACAGGTTAACATTTAACGTGCCTGGCAATGTGTCCTCCAGGGCACTGAGTGTTCACTTTCTGTGTCCTTGCAACACCTGATCAGACCTGCCAGTTGTGAAATCACAAGTTGACTCTTCTAGACCGAGGCATTTGCCTCAAACAGGCCACAAAAGGGCAGTCGCATAGGATCAATGACCAGCCATGGGGGAGGGAACCCCACTTTCCAGGAAGGGGCTGACAGTTAGGCACCCCATTTAGCAAACATTTCCTGAATATTGCTAGGTGCAAGCAGATTCTGGGCTTCTGTGGCTTCCAGAGCTGAGCCAGGAGTTTACCTTTAAAAAATACCATAAGGTCAGGCATGGTGGCTCACACCTATAACCCCAGCACTTTGGGAGGCCGAGGTGAGAGGATTACCTGAGCCCATGGGTTCGAGACCTAATCTCTACAATAAATCAACAAAAAGTTAGCAGGACGTGATGGTGCATGCCTGTAGTTCCAGCTACTTGGAAGGCTGAGGTGGAAGGATCGCCTGAGCCCAGCAGGTCGTGGCTGCGGTGGCCATGGGAGTGCCACTGCACTCCAGCCTGGGCGACAGAGTGAGACTCCAATTCAAAAATTTAAAAATAAAAAATACCATAAACAAATCCGAGGGAATCGACTTTTCCCACCTAGGGACTCTCTTACTGTCTATGTGCATTTGCTGACACACCCCGGTTTTCAAAGATTTCTTTCCACCAATCAGACTACACTTCCAAAGTGTCAAAGTTCGCTTTTCTGTCCCCAAAGGCTTCTGATCAGCCAGGGTATGCCAGAGCGCCCACACCACGAAAGACACTTGCCATCTTAGGTCCCACAGCTCTATGCCAGTAAATGCGCCGTCCCTCTGAGCCGCAAAACATACCGAGGTTAACTGACATTGTCTCCCGGTTCCGGGGTAGGGGATAACAGCGAGATAAACCACCCGCCCTGACTGGTGTCCCGGGGGAGGGAAACACTTGTTCTGCTTGTCTAGGAGGGACAGTGACATACTCCATTTCATCTTGCATGTAATTCTCACACAAACTTGCGGACACTAAGGCAGAGAGGTTAAATAACGCGCACAGCCAGACAGTCACCGGGCGGGATTCGAACCCACACGCACGGTCCAGGGACGGCTCACCCAGAGAAAGGCCCCAGCCCCCGTGCCGCTCCTGCCTCCGTTCCCTCCCTCCCCGCGCCCGGAAGCCAGAGCGCCGCGGCTCACGTTGCCTCTGGTGGAGAAGACGCCGTAGGGCAGGTTGTGGATGGGGAAGTCGGAGTCCTCGGCCCCTGGGACGAAGGACATGCTGGCGAGGCCCGGGCACGGAGGCGGCGAGGCCAGAGGGCGGCGGGCAGGACAGGACTCGACCGCA